CACACACACATATATATATATATATATACTTGTAGAGCTGGTGCTGCGCGTACGGGGTGTTTCTCCTTTTCATCCACCTTCCAATCTAAACTCCTTAAATTACTTGGCTGAGGGAGTTTCCTTTCAAAGGTACATTGAATACACGCGTACGCTCGAAGAAGGAGAAAAAAAAAAAGGTGTCTCTTGGCGAGGGAATTTTTCTCTGGTGGAGAAGAGAAAATTCCCTCTCCAAGTAAATGGAGAACACGAATACCCTTTTTTTCTTTTTTTAGCCGCGTCCATGCATCTGCGTAATGGGGCTCGGTTTTTCACGAACTCGCGATAATAACACACGCAAACTTCCCTCGCGGGGGCACGAATGTCAGAGTCCGTCCAGAAATTCGCCTCGTTATCGACAATCAGCGCGGCCTGGCACCCCCGGCATAATGTGTGCCCGTGGCAGCGTCAACGGCCGCCAAAACGTGCATGGCCGAGCTCTACGTCCTTTATAATCGGAAAGGTAAAAGGGGCGAAATGGAAGGGGTGGCCCGACCGGTGTCGCATTATTTAACGACGCGGTGTCGTCTTTGTACTTTGCAGCCTCCACGTCATACGATGCCTCTCTGCCCGTGTATACCTGTACGCCAACAGTGTCTAGGAGTAGCGTTGATGCGTTCAGATGCACGTACGTGTATACGTGGGGGTAAGGGAGGGGCCACTTTGGAAGCGGAGACGCCACTGTGGAAAGGAGCAGTCTTGTGGCAGGGTAGATGCTTACACTTGTTTGATGCTACTCTTTTTTTTTTTTTTTAGAGATCTTGTTCGTCTCGAGCCTCCCAAAGTGCGCGCAGTTTTTTCGCTGTTGATGAACAAACAGTTTATTATGTCGTTTTTGCGAGTCAAAACGTATTCACCTGATGTTTTCTGTTACGTTAAATAAAGTGAATAAGTTGTAATAAAATTAATTATATTTTTTTTTGTATTCTATTAGCTCAAGGCGATTCTGCTTACATTTTTACGGGGTTGGAAAATATGAATGTATTAATACACATGATAGTCTGGTGATGCGCAACTCTGAATCCTTAAGATAATACTTGTAGAAGGATTGCTCTCCTATTGACATGTCTATATTAAATTTAAGTATGTCTTTCTTGATGCTTGCCGCGTACGACACTCGATATACGGGTCCAAACATCTCATGTTGGCAGTACGACGTAGCGTCAACTTTAGAGAAACTGGCCCCTGATAAACATTAGAAAAATTATTTGATTGCCAGAGCAAGTTTACAAAATTAAATCACACGCCCGATTGTCCATACGCACATGTTACCCGAGTATCGGAGCTAAAAAGTATCTCGAGGGAAAAAAAAAAAAAAAAAAAAAAAAAAAAAAAAAAAAAAAAAAAAAAAAAAAAAAAAAAAAAAAAAATCGGAGCTAAAAAGTATCTCGAGGGAAAAAAAAAAAAAAAAACAAATAGAAAAACCCATTGATCAACCGATTGAAGCAACAATGCTTTTCCAATAACTGCGCAAAATTCGAGGTGTGAAAAAAATTCCGCACTCGAAGCAGCTTAATGACGTCTCCATTTGTTTGTAGATAAAACCACTTGGTAGATAGTCTCAATTAGAGTTTTGCACTGCGTTAGCTGTTTGTTGTGCTTCAATCTAGAAGATGGAGGGAGCAAGAGATGGAGAGATTGATGAAAACAAATGGCTCGGGAGAGTAAAAGAGAAAGAGGGTATATATATACACACATACACACACCCAACATAAGCTTTATTTCTTTTTTTTTGCGTGTTTAGCACGGATACAGATATACGGTGTACGTGTTGTGTATATAGGGAGCAACCTCGACCGAGTGGATCTACCGTGCAAGAAACAAATTGAACCCAGCCGGTAGTCGGGGGAGGGAAGAAGATGCAGCAACGGCGCAAGAAAAGAGTCGTGTATATAGTCGAACGAACAGTGTGGGCGGATAAGGGAAGCGCACGAAGAAGAAACCACAAGCTGGCGCAGCTGCAGTTGGCTCGATATGGAGTCAAAGTGCTCTGGCTGCAACTCGACCTTGTGTACGTATGTACGTGTATACGTGTACACAGAGAGGAGAGAGCGCAATTTGCATGGATAGTAGCTCAAAACGAGGCGTTTTTGCTCCTATACCGCCGTTGTTTGCTCCCATACGTACGCGTACGCCCCTCGCATTAATTTTAATGCACGCGCTTGGTATTTTAATTCGCATGGAAATCAAGTGTGTGGGAGGTGCATCTACGCGTTATGGGCAATGTGTATAGCCAAATGCCTCGCGATTGGGATTCAATTGGCTACGAGGGTACTTTTTGGGAGAGTTGTACAATATATATACATATACATACGAGTATAACGTCGTAACGCCATTACATTTATCGCGGATGAAATTAGTCAGGTGTTTGCGGTTTGTTTGCGTTTCGTTCAATGTTTGTTTTAATGCCCAGCTTTAGTTGTGTGAAATCATTGAGTTTCGGTCCAACACGATGATGCGTGATCATTTTATTTCGAGATATCACGTTTGCTCTTTTCAAATTGACGTGTCGATCGTTTGCTCGTTATATTCATTAATTGATATGGATCTGTACAAGGAAAACATAAACTATACTCGTTGATTTATGGATCACTTGAGGATTCGCGTAGCGTAAGGTATCTGTATAATTTTTTTTAATATCACGTCTTCTACACTATTTGGACGAGCAAACCAATCTCCGTAGCCTTAAAGTACCCACGTCATTCCTCCCCCCCCCCCTAGTGCCACGGCACGTGATAAATTTCCACCGATTCATATAAATTCCCCAGCGCGCATTACCATATTCATTGAATTATTAGCGTCGCAGGGAAACTCGGGATACAAAAAAGTCAGGGGCCGGTAGTAAGTGTAGCGATAGGAGCATCGGTACAGTCCGATGTTATCTCCAGAAGGACCGGCGTCTGAATTTGCATGGATAATGGCTCAAAACAGCAGCAGCTGGAGGCGGATAAATAGGGGCGCGGGGAAGTACAGTGGCCCTCGTTTTTTACCAGCTTTCGGGAGAGGGAAACAGAGTTTAGCGTCAAGGGACTTTCCAAGGGTGTGGCCTAAACAGCTGGCGCTTTGTTTTTGGGGATTTGGATTTTCAATGCCCCCCCCCCCCCCCTGGTATCTGTACACATTCGCGTGATATTAAGCTCGGAGCAGCCACCCGGAGAAATGGGAAATTTATGGCGGATAACGCTGATGAAGAGCACACCCTATTGCTGCTACTTGCATATACTACTGCTACATGTTTTTTTGCTTTTTGCCCACCACCACCTATTTTTTTTTTCTCAAACGGAGAAGTAGGGTCTTGTATCTCCATTTTATTTATTTTTTTTTTTTTGTTGTTGGAATTTATATGCCAACTCGTAGGTATTTGAAATACCAAGCAAAAACTCGGTCCAACCTCGAAGAAATGAAGTAAAAACTCAATTAAAAATGTTTAATACAATATGTCTGGACTTGCGAAAATTAAATAGAATTGCACCTAGTACACTTTCAAAGTGACAACAAAAGCACAAGAAAGATAAATTTCCTTCCTTTGGAAATAACATCGCTAACCCATTCCTCAAGTAGTAGCAACAGCACCAGTGGAGCCTCGATCGAAGAATCGCAATGATTTTTGCACATTAGTTTATATTCCCCTGCACACGCAGATACGCCACTCGTACGGGTAGGTGGGGTATATTTCTGTCGCTCCGGAGGGCCGTTTGTCTTTCTCTTTGGCGCGCACTAGTCCGAGTTGAGCCTCGAAAGCCCCGAGCGGCTCATGAGCTTAAACGAAGTTTGCACTTCGAACTGCCGGTTAGCCCCCGCTGAGCCCACGCGCCCCGCCGGAGAAAGGACGGAATCTCGGCTAAATGCCCGCGTGGAAATTCTAAACAGGAAATTAATGAAGCCCTCCGTTTGTACAAACTTTATGTTTTGAACGTGCCCGTATACATACACGCGTCGCCCTGCACTCTGGGAGAAAATAAAAAATAATTAAAAAATTACTGTGCTTAAATGGTAATCTCGGGCTGCTCGGTCATCTAACCGACTTTTTGCTGTTTGAACAAGAATTTTTTATCTTTAGAACAGTAATTTTTATTGTGGGTACAGTTTATACTGTCTTTTTTAATTACTGTCCAGCCATTGAATGGTGAAAATTAGGTTTTCAAAAGTAAAAAGTCCCGAAACGGTGAAATGGCACCAGATTACTATCATAGCACAGTATTATTAATTTATCTCACTATATGGGAATCAATTTTTTAATGTTACATGTCATTTGATCACTCAAGTTTTTATTCATTAAGAAAAAGCTTAAGCCTCCCAAAAGGAGAAAGGGTTGATCAGAGGCATCCATAATTGATGCAAAAATACGTGCAATACGTGTACCGGCAAAGGTTTGCTCTCGTTGATCCCCGGGATCCACGAAAACTCTTCATCCCGACGTCTCCTGTTCTATTATGGATGGAAGGGTGGCGATTAAACATTCCGGCTGATGAGCACGAAATTAACTGGATTGGCCCCTCTTTATAGGCGACGAAAGCAGCTTGACGTGCTGTCAAGAGTCGTTAGTGCCACACATTTTTTCCTGCCTGACGTGATTACACGTCACCTCCGTTTGAGTGATTTCCCTTTTCATGGGTTATGACTACGGGCTGGTGTTCTCATAACACGAGCTTAGTGCTGTAATCCTCCTAAAAAAACTGAAAAAAATTGTTCGTATTTGCATCCCACGAATTTAAGGGTTGTTTTAAAAACTTTCAAAAACTTCAAGTGTCAACAAACAAACAAATCGCGTTATTTATTACCCAATAAAAAAAAAATATACGATTTTTGGTTCGTAAGGTGGTTGAAACCCAAAGTTTCGTACAACAAACGGGAAACGAGTCGCGTTTTCATTAATTACTAGCTTCTTTATACACATTCTATTCACTTGTCTAATTTGAATGATGAAAAGTAACGATTTGCCTCGAATGTATTTTTCGTTACAGAATAAAATGAAGCAAAATTCATCGGGCTTATGATGAACCATAAGACACAAGAGGCCGGGTGGCAGCGTTCAGCTAGGATAATCCGCGACACATCATGGCGCAGGTAGTTTTGCCGCTGCTGATCGGAGCCGTCCTTGCCGCGGTGGCCATCAGCGCCGACGAGCTGACCAGAAATGTTTTCAGTGAGTATACGAGCGAAATGGGGAAGCCCTGCATGAGCTAACCATTGCCTTTTGATTTCTTCACTTTTTGGTACTAAGAATAAAAATGTTGACACAACACCTTGCGAGAGAGTTTTTTTTAATAGTGTTCTTATGTGGCTGTCTTTGGCAAATATACTATGTCATTTGTTATTAATGCAGTTACTTATGTATCCATCTATTTGTTATATTTATAATGGCTCCTATAACGAGGCCCTTTCACTTAATCCAATACACACATTACCTTGAACTATTTGATACTTGAAACTTGGGTTGGATTACACGGACATATTTCAACCATCTGTCTCATAGATATATAAATGAAAGAAAAAATAATAATAATAATTGTACAGAATAAATACTTCAAGGTAACCAAAAACAGTGGGACTCTTTGCACTCTTGTAATAAGGTATAATAAAATACATTTATCGAAAAAGTCGATTACCAAATTTCGTTGCAAGCTACAGACTGTTGAAAAAAAAAAAAAAAAAAATACTAATAATAATAATAATAAATCAAGCACGATTAAAATAAAACAACATTCCAGACAAATGAACCAGCTCTGCTGCAATTATTATTTTTATTAGTCCACTTGAGCGTTCGGGGACACCAACAATTCACTCAGCGCTACGAAATTACACAAAATTTTTCGCACTGGCATGCATTACACAAGGGAGAAAAGAGGAACGCGCCACCCTGAAAACTGAGATGAAAAGTATGGGGGAGGCTTTTGAAGAGGGGTCAAAATAAAGTGCAACGGTGCGCGCCAAACGTAGTTCTCACGACTGCAAAGTGCTCGTGCCCTCGGGTGCAATTTTTTCCAACACATGCACTCTCTCAGCTTCCCTATTTTTCCCCTTGGATTCGAACACGTTGACGTTTACTGTTATGTATGTAGATGCAATGACGGCAAGTGGCATTTATTTACGTTTTGTGCCATGCCGATTGGCTAATCGTGCGAATCAATATGCCATCATTTGATTTGAGGATCAAATTTAAGAATGTAAAAATATATTTATATTTATTTTTCATTATTTGACTCTCAGCAAAGATCCATCATTTCATTATTTCAATCATAAACGTGCGCGATTGGGATTCAATTGGCTACGAGGGTACTTTTTGGGAGAGTTGTACAATATATATACATTTTCAAATTTTCGACTCTACCCCTTTCTCCGTGGGACACGCTGTACAAATTTATATCGCAGGTACTACAGGTATTGGAGACCGAGGAGTACAGAGGAAGCGCTATACCGAGGGGAAAGGAATGCCCGAAGGCTGTGACAGGTCGGCTAGTTTGTGTGCCTCGGTTTTCATATAAAATCTCATTAGAGCCCCAATCCACTATACTCTCTCTCTTTCCGTACAATGGAGCCCCTTCTCGCACCCTCGTCGCCAAGAATAACGTGTGGGTGTGCGTGTGTGAAGACATACTCCGCTAAAGCGATTTCTGACCTNACGATGTAATAAGTAAAAAAAAAAAAAAAAAAAAAAAAAAAAATCAAACAAAACAATTGTACCCAAGTTCGTGTATTGACAAATAATTTATATTTTATGAACCATTCAAAGAATAAGGCTTCAGTATAAGCTCGCGATAAAAGCCCCCGCTTTGCATTACAATCCAAGAATTAATGCAAACGACGAGTGCCCCAACAATAACAACCAACCGACTGTGCGTATACGTGTTTGAGGGAGAGAGAGAGAGCAGGAGAAAGCCAGCGATGAAGTTGAAGAAAAGAAAACCAATTACTCGTCTAATTAAAATTTCTCCACCTTCGCTTATTCCCCCCTGGGAAAGTGCGCAAACTGAAAGTAAACACCGAGAGATCTCGGAGCGGCCAACTGCTGGCGTTACCATTATGTTTCCTTCGCCCCCCTCCCCCCTATTTCTTCTTTGCACGGGCTTATATCCATCGGATATTAAAAGAGAGCCATTTGCATAATCCAACAAAGGGTCAACGCCAAAGAGCCATAATATTATTGTTACTTCGCTTGGGCGCACGCACCAAAGACAGGAGCGTATATATACATACATATATATATATAGGAGTAAAGACATGTATAGCCGGGAAGGCCGATGATCCGCTCCTGCCCATCATCGCCCGGTAATTGGATAACGTTAATGTCGTTCCAGGCCATTGTACGCTTCCGCTCGGCATGGAGGAGGGAAAAATACCGGACGACGCCATAAGCGCCTCCTCGAGCTACGAGATGAAGTCCGTCGGGCCGCAAAATGCTCGGTGAGTATTATATACATATATACACGTACACATGTACTCATCCAAGCTGGTGGATATCGATGTAACGGTCCTGCCTTGGTGGGGTCGCGCGCTGCATTTATTGCGCATCGCCCACTCTTTTCCATCCCCTTCCTAGCCCACACCTCTTTTTTCCTTAATGAAAGCCGCTAAAGAGGCGGAACGCGTCGTGATTCGATCCTGTTGCTGCTGCTTTTTTTTTTTTTTTTTTCTTCTTTCCCCGCGTTGCGAGGATTAAAAGCGCCCGGGTAATGAAGGCTGTTCCGATGCGCGACCTCGTTTCACGGTTGAACGGAGCTCTTTTTGTTTTTCGCTAATTGATCTGTTCCCACGGACTATTTACTTGGCTGAATATACATGTATATACTTGTACAAAGAGAGAGATGTTTAATGGCATCATTAAATCTCTTGCTTTGTCACGAAGAAGACAACAAAAACAACACTTTTATCCGTTTATTCATCGGTTTCAATGACATTATACTCAATACTCGATGAAATCTCGAGCGCCGTACAGCAACGCGAATCTTTTAAATGCTTTTTCAGCACTCGAGCTTTCGTATACATATACTATGAAACATTCTTCTCTAAACCTCTCGATGCTTCCCCCCCAACAGCATCCGCCAGGAGAAGAACGGCGGCGCGTGGTGCCCCAAGGCCCAGATAAGCAACGACATCCGCGAGTACCTCGAGGTCGACCTCACCCAGGAGCACCTGATCACATGGACGGAGACGCAGGGCCGTTTCGGCAACGGCGAGGGCCAGGAGTACGCCGAGGCCTTTTACCTCGAGTACTGGCGCGACGCCAAGTGGCACGCCTACAAGAACCTCAGAGGCAGCCAGGTATAAACTTGGTCGCCCGCGTCCGACCGTACGCTGACTCGTACCACTGCATCTTGGGTTTCTTCCCCTCGCCTCCCTCGTCGCGTGTACATCACACGCGTGCGAATCGGATTAGCTGCAGTTGACGAAAATTACCGACTTGTCCACGTGGGTGGGTGGGGGGCAAAAAGGCCGTCGAAATGAACTTTGCACGCGGGGAATTCGATTAACAGCGAGCGCGAATTTGATATTAGCCGGACGCGCGAACTTGCTTTAATTGATTTGGCTTTTTTGGGGGTGGGAGTGGATGGGATGATCAGCCGGAGAATGAATATATCTTATCAGGCGGACTTTCGCGGTGGCGGGGAGGTAATATTACTTTCGGGGTAATTTATGAAGTTGCGAAAGTTCCGCGAAAGGGGAGTCCGGGACGGATTTATGATGTTTGGAAATTAAAAAATTCCCACCGCGCGAAAATCTTCCGTAAATCACTTTCGCGCGATTCTTCATCGCGCAATCGATGTGTTTCATTGGGACGCTGCTTACGCCAAAACGATACCGGGTGCAATCGTGTTTTACCTTTTTTTTTCGCTCGGCCTTATAGCTATTCTTGTACATGTATATACGTATATAAACGCGTATACCGTCGCATGGGGATTCTCGAGAGTCTGACAAACTTTAGCCACTCGCGATACTCTCGGGTACGCGAACTTTCACTATTCGGGGGCATACAATATTCATACCCTAATAGCGCGCGTTGGCACTGATTATCATTTTTATTTTTTTGCTTTGCTCTCACGAACTATTAGCTTGGCTTACAGTTTCTGAGTTGGGGATGCGTCGCGAGGGAATAATTCATTTGCATGATTTTTATTCCTGGGTAGGTGTGCGTGTACGCGAGCTTATGCGGAAAGTTAGAGCGAAGGATATCTCTTTGCCCAAACTTCATTCGTGCGTTTTTTTTATACATACATTGTTTTACTTGGCAAAATTGCCTAAAGCTGTACAAAGAAAGTACTGCGTTGGGAGGCGTAAGATGATGGTTGATTTGCTCGAAACAAAAAATCGTTGATGTAGATTGTTTGTTGTTGAAAATTTATGTTTCAATCGCAACGGTAACTCCAGGTTTACCCAAGTTTTAATGAAAAAATACAATGAAAGTATTAAAATTCACCGAGTAAAACGCTTCCGTTTCAACGCGTGCACTTCGAACAAAGTAAAAAAGATATAAAATCAAAAGTTATTGTTAAGTCGAAACTTAAAAGTTTCAATTAACTGTGCAAGTAAAAAACGATACCAAGAAAGTGATTTTCAAAAGATAAATCTTATCTTTACGCTTCTAAAACTGTTTTTATGACAAAGGAGCTGCGCAGAGGGTGAATTTTTGAGAAAAAAAGCTCGACGAGCGAACGTGAGATTCTTTTGATTCTTTTGACTTGAATTACAAAGTTTCAATTGAAAATTTAGAAATTTCTATTTGTGATAAGATTCTCTTCGAAGGGATGGAAAATTTTCCGATTCAATCATCCGAATAAAAACACGTTTCGGTATAACTCAGAGATCCCCTGGAAAAATCCCTATTCATCTTCGCACGATGTAATAAGTAAAAAAAAAAAAAAAAAAAACAATAACAACATCCAAAGCGCAAACAACCACCCGCAGCTTGCACGCGAACGTGAAAAAGCAATAACCGGACCCCCTTGGAGCGGGAAGAAAAAAAGAAATCCAATAAATTAACCCCTCGTCCTTTGGGGTGAAAAAAGAAAACCATCCACACCTTGTTGGAGCATTAGCGCGGAAAACATACGATACGGATGAAATAAAATGAAATGAAAAAAAAAAAAAAAAAAAAAAAAAGAAGACAAGCAAACAAAAATAAAGGAGGAAAAGAAAGTGTAACAAGCCTTTGGAACTTGGCAGGTCCTGCGAGGCAACAGCAACACCTACCTGGTGGAGAGACAAAAGCTCGACCTGCCGTTCGTCGCGAGCAGGGTGCGCTTCGTCCCCTACAGCAAGCACCCACGTACCGTCTGCATGAGGGTCGAGATTTACGGCTGCGTCTGGGAGCGTAAGTGATATCACCTTCGTTCTTCTTTCTCTCTCTATTTTCTTTATGTGCACACACACACACACACACAGCTATATGGGGATGTATGTGCGCGCCGCCAGCCTTAATTATTCGGCTGACGCTCCGTGTGCCTGACCCCTTCTTCTTTCGCCTCCTCTGCTTCGTACCCTTGACCCGTCCACCTCTCTCTCTTTCGCTTCGTTTTTTCGACTATTAGATGCAATTTATCGCCGCAGCCTCCCGCTGGCTACTGGCGTGCGCGAGAACGTTCCTGAGCTCGAGTGATATGTGTGCACGTAGGTGGGCTACGCTGGAAATTTACCCGCAATGCGTGAGATATTTGGCTACCGTTTACGTGGTTATTGCATTTTTTTTTTTTTTTTTTTTTGGCACTATTCATTCATTGGTAAGTGTACGTGTTGTTATACTATAGTGAAACGCACGTGATAGAATTTTAATTGGATTTTCTGGCCTACGGGCACGATTAAGTATTTGGATACTTGCATTATGAGAGATTTTATGACGTGCATAAAAAACTTTTCTGTAGCTACGATCAAAGATAAATTACCGTGTAACGAAATGAAATTCTACACCCTTGCTTTTCTCGAGAAAACATTAATATAGCCATTACAACACAGATTTTTCTCGGTGTGCACAGCCAGATGACTCGCCAATATCAGCTCCGTAGCTCGGTCAATTAACCAAAATAATGGATTTTTTCTCGAAATTTCTCGACTACATTGGACATGAAAAATTCAGCTCGGTGATTGTACAGTACCCCATCCGCCTCCTTCTTCTCTCTCTCTCTCTCTCTCTCTCTTTCCTTGCACGCCGATCCGCAAATAATCGATATTAACTCTTCTGTACGGCTTTTCAATCCCCCCTCCCACCCTCCCTCTTTGCTTCTCGGCAACTTCGACACTCCTTTAATCCCGATCAGCCGAACCGGAGCAAAGTCAAGCTCGGCTGGTTCTGCATGTGATTTTTCCGTCTCAGTTTCTCGGATCAATCAAGCCCGAAACGCAAACTTTCGTCACAGTCGTGTACACGGGGTGCACAACTTTTCTATACACACTTCGAAGCGAGAAAGGTGGAGGGGAAAAAAAAAACTTTCCCGCTGTTGGACGTCGCGTGATAAAAGACGAGGTTTCCATGGATGGGGAGGGGCTTTTAGCCCCCAAGTTTTTACCTTCCCCCTGCGGGCGCTTGCCGAGCTAAATAAATTAATCACTTAATTTTCACCGACCAAAACCAACCGAGCTGCGGCGAAGTTTTCTTTTTCTTTCTTTCTTTCTTTTTTTTTTTTTTTTTTTTTTTTTTTGGTCTCGGCTCGGGCTCCCGTGGATAAACTTTGCCGAGGCTTTCGATATAATATCGTCCCGAGCGATTGAGGTTTTTCCGGGGGCTTATTTTTAACACCATAACCAATACGTGCACTTGGAAAAAAAAAAAAAAAAACCTGAGTGTAAAAACCCACCCCCACAGAGAGGATAGCCAGGTATACGATACCAAAGGGCGAGCGCTACGGCCCGAACGGCTGCAACCTCGAGGACTCGTCCTACGACGGTGGCAACGAGGTCAATGGCACCCTGGCCCACGGCATGGGCCAGCTGACCGACAACGTAATAGGCGACTCCTTCGAGATCCTCGCACCCTTGCCGTCGAGCGGCAGCAGCTGGATTGGCTGGATGGCCAGGGACACCCTCGACATCGTCTTCGAGTTCAAGGAGGTGCGCGAGTTCAACAACTGTAGAATACACGTGGCTCATCTGCCTAGGCTTGGCATCGAGGTGAGCCTTTTTTTTCCTAAGCGAATACAGGTGCGGGTGCAGGGTTCACAAGCAAGTTGGTGGTTTTTCAGGTGTTCGCGTCGGTACAGGCGTGGTTCTCGAACGACGGCGTGCGGTACGAGACGTCCGCGGATAAGGTCGAGACCCCGAAGGAGTTTAAAACGAACGTGGGGATGGTCACGGTGCCCCTGCAGTTGAGGACCGGCCGGTTCGTCAAGCTGGACATAAGGACGAGGTCCAAGTGGCTGCTGATCAGTGAGGTCCTCTTCGACTCGGGTACGTGGGATTAAGGTGTATAGTGAAGGAGAAATGTCTATCGGAGGGAGAAAAACAAAGGAAACATTGCATAGTTCCAGGCCTGAGGAATCAGACGAGCGAGCAGGCGTCCGAGCAGAGCGTGGCGAGCGAGCGCAACGAGACGGACGTGACGGCGCAAGCTCGGCCGAAGAGCGAGAGGAACGACACTGTTTACGAGCGTGCGCCCAAATTGACGCCCGACGCGTTTCCCATCGGCAACTCTCAGACCTACATCGGCCTGGTGAGTTGGGACTTTTCTTACTATTTTTTATACCGCAGTAAAACGGGTTTCCTGCGAATTCAGTAGTATACGGGCGTTATAGTCAGACGTGAGTACCAAGTAGAGCCATTGGTGCTATTTTGTTTTTTTAATGCGATTTACATGTGTTAAATTACTGAGAATGAAATAGACTTTTCTTACTATTTTTCACACTGCACTGAAACTGGTTTGCTCCGAATTCAGTAGTATAGGGGCGTTATAGTCAGACGTCGGTACCAAGTAAGGCCATTGGAGCTTTTTTGTTTTTTTAAGCATTTACATGTGTTAATTATAGTGAATTATCTCAAGTAAGGTGACACAAAAAATTGCAGATCATTAGCAAAAAAAAAAAAAAAATGTACAAAATAAGTTTAACACTTAAAATCAAGACAGTAGCTTTATCCAAGAAAGTTTGAATGTACGTAGTGTAGGACCCGCATAAAATCGGACTTGCTCAATTTTTAAGAAACACAAAGTGAGCCCGAACAAATGATAAGGCATACCATCCCTCAGGTAAGTGCGGCTCTGATGGTACTAGTCCTGCTGTCGAGCTGTACGATTTTCCTGATGAAGCAGCGGGGCCGCAACAAGGTGGCTCTCCTGCAGAAGCACACGGCCCTCCTGTGCGGGCCCACGGCTCCGGGCATCAACATGAAGGACATACATAGATTGGCGACGCCGATCGTCGTCAACAACGGGCTCTCCCAGTCGCGGCTGTCCATCAAGAGCAAGAGCCTCGCCTCGGCCTTGGCGGTCGCCAACGACGACAACATGAGCACCTTGCGCAGCAACACCAACAGGAGCGACAATGGCAGCGAGTACGAGCAGTGCAGTGCCTACGAGCGCACCTACAAGCTCTTCTCCGAGGAGAACCTCGCTTACGAGCCTGCCTCCACCCACAAAAGCGAGCGGTTCTCCACTTGCAGTGGTAAGAAGTACTGCTTTTTTTTTTTTTTTAGGGCTATACGTTACATGAGAATAATGGTTTTCTTTTTCATTACATTTTTCTCCTCGCTGCGTAGACCAATAAAAAAACACCGTACATGGCATGTAGTATAAAAAGTGTCCAAGGCCACGTGAGCTCCGAGGCATTTTTATTTTTCCTTCCCAGATGTGTACTGTACTGTTGAATGTACGTGTTTATGGGCACTTTTATTGTTTTTTTTTTTTTTTTCCTTTTTTTACCGAAACAGTAATCAACGAGTGATAATATACTCTAAAAAAAAAAAAATGATAATAATA